ACCATCTTTTATCATCCGTAATCTCAAAATTAAGCTTTTTGTCATTATATAATAATTAATAATATAAAAGTTTCTTTAGCAAAATCTGATAACAGATGGCGCTGCAGACAATTTTTAACTCTTGTCGGGAAAGTTAGGCGACTGGTTGCTAGATTTTTAAAAAATATTTGCCTTCGTGTTAACCGAGAAGAGAATTTAATAGAGAAATTTACAGAATAATTGATCTTTATTATTTTTAAATAGAAGCTGAACGACAGCTTCAATTTGCAATAGTTTACTTCTACCACTTACTTTAACGCCTCTATCGTTTTATACATTTCGATATTCTGATGTACAAAAACAGTAAGAATTGCTTTCAATTTTCTTTCTACTCTTCATAAACGTGTTATTAATGTAAACAATTAAATATGAACGGTCTATCGCATCCAGCGAAACATTACCGCTATTGTTGGAAACTATAGAAATGATACTTCTCGATGTTCGTTCGTGCTCGAAATATGCAAAATCATGTAAATAATTCCTCGTTTTATTAACAATTGCGTACTCAATATCACTGACCGTAGTTCCTTCCTGGTGTATCCAATATTCGACGATATATTAGAATTGTCATAGCGCAAAGAATAAAATGCATTAACTGAAGAACATAGAACATTGCCTACTGTACAGTATCTGTATACCCAGCAGGTACGCCTTAATTAACGTGTGGATGACCAAAATAAATTATATCAAAGTACACAATGTACGGGAGCCTCGATTCTTCGGGACACAGGGAAATTTGCTTCTTTTTCCCTCCTCTGGGCGCCCCTGATTTTTCGGATCAATATTATAATTATTATGTGCCATCTATTTTTATTTTAAAGCTGTAGTTTTAATATAATAAAATAATAATAATTATTATAAAATTTTTAAGGCTAAAAATTGTGAGAAAATGACAACTGGTTTAATTATTTTGTAGGCATTTTGGCCGTGTAAATGTTTACGCGTAAAATATACCGTATACAATAAAAATTCGAAATTGGCTAATAAGATACGAAGGTGGTAAATTAACTTTTTGTCAAACCAACTTCTAATTAATACATTTTGCGTAAGTTGACGATAGAAGATAATTTAATTATATTTTATCATTAATTAAATTACACGTACATTCGTTAGTAAGCCAAGAACGACCAGACGTGACTTCGAGTTAAATGTTCGGCTATAGTATTAATATAATAATAAGTTTCATTTATTCTTATTTAACGCAGTAAAAACCTGTTCAAACGGAAACCTGTCTAATGGGGAAAAATTTATAGAAAAGCGGCCACTTTTCGTGATAACAACCCGTTTAAAACGGAAAAAATATTCGGTACCGGCTTATACATATTTCACTCTATATTGTTCCCTTTCCGCCTTCCTCCTACATTTCCGGATCCGGTATCGAAGTTTTAACTTAAATGCGAATTTTTTATTTGAGACGGAAATGCGCGGCCAATGCGGACTGGATAACCAGCAATGGGATCAATTACAGTAAAACCTGTGTAAGCCGGACGTACGGTACCGAATATTATTTCCTGTTTGGTATATTTCCGTTTTGAACAGGTTTTTTTAAAACACAAAATCGCTTCATTCCTAAGAATTTTTCACGTTTAGGAAGTATTCGTTTTAGACAGGTTTTATTGTATAAGTGATGAGAGTTGGTAAGAAAAATCAATCTCTCTTAGACCATTTACAGTTTTATAAAAATCTGAAAATGTTTCCGAATTTTTATATATCAATATTAACCAGCAATTACTTGGAGCTGCAAGTTTTAACGATATTTTTATTTAAAAAATCGCGTGATTTCCGTCTAGACCGGAAGTTCATATACAGTTAGTCGGGACTTCCGGCCACTAAGCTTTCCATATCTCGTATCGATTTTCATTATCTAATTCCCCTGTCGAGATTAAGGAAGGACAGACGAACGGACGGCCTACGAGCCATTGATTAGAAATATTTTGCATTTTGATCAATAAAACTAGAATATTTTAAGCGGGTAAAAAAAATTAAACATTTATTACATTATGTTAATTAAAACACTATAAAGCGAAACCTGCGTAAACCGGATTCGTCCAGAAGCGAATATTTTTTCCGGTTTGGCAGGTTTCCGTTTAGAACAGGGATTTTTTCTAAACAGTTGCGTTGGTAAGAATTTAGGCAGGTTTTCGTTTTATTAAGGTTATTTTTATAGTTTTAAAATTAGGCTGTAGGTGTTTCTGCAAGATAGTATTTCTAATTAACAATTTAAAATTAATAAAGACCTTATTTTTTAAATTTACTATATAAAAACCAAAAGAAATACAGCAAAACCTGTCCAAAACAGGAATAATTCTTAAGAACCAAGCGATTTTATGTTTAAAAAACCTGTTCAAAACGGAATGCGGCCAAACCGGAAAAATATTGATACTTAGTACCGTACGAGCCCGGCTTACACGGGTTTTCCTGTTTGGCAGGTTTCCGTACCGAACGGGTATTTCTAAACATACAAAATCGCCCCGTTCCCAAGAATTTTTCTGTTCGGGAAGGTTTTCGCTTTATCCGGGTTCCGTTTTGGACAGGTTTCGCCGTGCGCGCTATTTTTCGTTTTAATATTATATAAATTTGATATTGATCGGGTTTATTTATAAACTTAAATGACACGGTGACATTTTAAATAAGTAGTATATGCGGCGCGGGATAATTTAAATTTTATTGCGATTATTTTCATTTTCACAAACGTTAAAAGCTGATTAGTATCATTAAGTTATAGTTATTATTTCCTAATTATTGTAATTTACGGAATTAATTAATAACACGGTACAGGAGCCACCCAATTAACGTAATTTTAATTACACGATTTCGGATTAAAAAGAATAAAATTTAAATCTGTTAAAGGGGTTATTGAATTTTCTTGGATTGTATCGATTCATATAACACAAGTGCTTTCCTCTTCTGTAGTATATAATTTAAATAGATATATATTATCTGTAGGATGTTCGGATTTGATATTAATCTGTTAGAATAGTCAATTTGAATGCAATTTTCTTTACTTTCCCGGCTGTAATATATACTATGACCTGTCTAACACGGAAACCTGGCAAAACGGGAAAAATTCTTAGGAAAGCGGTGACTTTCTGCGTTAAAAAAATCCTGTTCCAACGGGAAAAGCATTGGGTACAGCGCGATTCCGCTTTACACGGGTTTCGCAGTATAACAGAGGGAAAGTATGACGATGGGTCAAAAAATACCCCCTCCAAGATTTTTGCATTTTTGGACCGAGGAGATTTTCAAAGGCCGAAAAATTCAAAAGAATGGGGGAAGGTTTCTGTACGCGTGGATGTTACGGGACATTCCAATTTTCAACGCCAGTGCCGAGTGTCGAAAACGACGACGTTTCAACTTCGGGAGTACGAAGCGCTTAGTTTCCGTAATTCCATTCGAATTACACGCAATTCGTTGGAAAGTAGCGGTCAACATTCTGTCGACTCAGCGCTGACAAAATGCACTCGGCACTCGGACGCTGAAAATTGGAATGTCTGCGTGCGTCGTTCACTCTGTTTCCAGCATAATAACTCCCGCGCCTTTTCTCGAAATTCCTGTAATTTTGCACGCGGGGTTTTAATGAACGCATTTTCAATTTTGTTGTTTGTTTTTAAATAAACTTTTTTTCTACCCTGGAAATTTGTGATTTTAAAACAATTAATTACATAAAAAGTTTCTAAAATTTCGTAGCAGATAGCGCCAGACACAATTTTTTTTCTTACGGACACGTCTGTCGTAAAATGAAAGTAATGTTAATTAAAAACTTAATTATATTTGTCTGCCGGGTTTTAAACTATTCCGAATATTTTTCCTATACTCGGTGGAGTTAACAATACTTTCCTTATCTCGAGCGAAATTGATGCGTTTTAGAGGGAAATTGTCAATTTTTCCTTTTAATTAAGCTATATAAAAGGAAGATTTATTTACTTTTTATTAATTTTACAATAAAGACTTATGTAAGGCTACGGCTTTTGAGAAACAAAACAAAAATAACGTGTTAATTAATATTTATTAATCTTAAATGTATATTTTCAATTAATTCCAGTGTATACTCGAATACATAGAATATGTACGACGATTCATTGAGTTTAAAACAATAATAAAAGTTGTATCGAGTGTTACGGCAGTAAACTGTCTCTTCACTAAAGCAAACGGGAATATATCTTACGTAAAAAGATAGAAAATCTTAAAACGGAAAGCGTATTATACAGTAAAATTACCCTTAAATATCGGTTTAATTAATGTAAATATTTTACATTCAATTTTAAGTGGAAATTTATACGCTAATTTAAATATATGTACCGTAAGTGTGTAGCCTACACTACACGGGGAATCGTGTATGGAAAGCTTATTTCCGATAAGCGACAATACATTATTCCTTTGAATTTATTTTAGTGTGGGACGTTTAGATTTTTATTTTATTTTTTTGTCGCTGACAGGAAAGAAACTTTCTAAAGAATCACCTTGGGTCAAACGCGATACACGAGAAATATAATCACGTGCTCGAATCACGTGGATTTTATGGCTGGCTGCCATCTACACAAACACTAAATTTAGTAGAGATGTTTTATATCTGGTTTGTGTCCGGCTAACGATAAGCCGCGAGTTCCTGACCATTATAAGAAATTATTTCGGTTCCAGGTCCCGCTATTTATATAGGCCTATATAAAACTCAGGTAAATTTTTTAAATTAATATTTTTATTATCCTCAAATGAAACGAAACGCCTGTAACTAATCGCGTGGCGTATCCGTTAAACTTTGTCGAGAGACTATTTAATATTTACAAAATTTATTAATAGCCCGTTCCCGTGGTATTTCCAGTTCTTAATTAGTTATTTAGATATGTATCTAAATTCTCCAGTGAATTTTTATTACGCGAACCTGTTACAATCTGCTAACGTAATAATTTTTCTTAGAGAAATGGGCACACCCTGGCTAACGTTATTCCGGAACAATCGATCTTTATACATCCTACAAACACATTGACAGCCTTAATCTGGAACGCGCTCAAATAATGTAAATGTTCCGAATTATTTCTTACATTTACAACACGCAAAATTTAAGTGTTCTACTTTCATTTATTGGAATTGCTCTACACTAGTAAAAAACATTCCATCATTTTTATGGCACGATACGCGAAACTCGTTGGAAACGGAAACCTGCCTAAAGGGGAAAGTACTGGCATCGGTCCGGTTTTCGCGGGTTGCGCTTATTATCGAAACGAAGAAAGAGAAAAACTAATTTGCCAGCTGCTATGTCGGGCGTATCGGTGACAGACGAGCAGTTATCGTTAATAAAGCCATCTTCGATTACTTGTTATTACACGCGGGACGTGTAGGGGCGTGTCTAGGGCCTGGGAGATCGGCAAGTTGGGAATTTTTCCCGGTCCGGGGAATGTTTAGGGATCCCTAGTGATTCCCGTTCCTACGAAATTAACGTTATTTACTAACAGAGAAGAAAATCTTTAAGAGTACGTATTTCGTTTGTTCAAAAACGGAAGATTAAAGGGGCCCGCTAAGAGGCAAAGCCACTCACTCTGCCCCTTAGGCCCCGTACGACTCTCGACCACCCCGTGTGGCGGCACGGCCACGAAACCGAAGCAATCGTTTTATTACAATAATAAGCGTAATAATTCATTATCGAGTAACCGCAGTAACTCTAAGGTAATTGGGTAACATCCTCCGAAAACCGGGGCCACGTGCCTGGGTTTCCCCCGAATCTGCCCGGAAGTATGCCATTCCCGAAATCCAGAAGCGACGTGGGTGAAATTAAGTATTCCGAAATAAATACACACGACGCAGACGTATATTAAATTTTACTTTTAGAACTTATAAAAATCTACAACGAATATAAAACGTATAAGCATTTCTAATAATATAAAACTGGATATTTGAGCTTAAATGGACGAGCGTATTGATTTATGTTATATTAGACAATACGAGCTGAACAATAAATATAACATTTGATCCCGGAAACAAACACGACACGAGTAAACTGCTGTTTAAATGTCATATCCAGGATTTAAGAATTCGAGGAGCCTCCGCAGTTTGGAACGCGTTACTCAATTACCCTTAGACTTACCTTATTATATTTATTATTATTTTAGGGTAACGCGACTGATGGCGTTGGTGCGACCAGGGCGATGCGTCGCCGTAAGCGCACCCCGCGGATACGTCCCCGTAGTGTGTGGAAAGTTTTAAACGTAGAATAATAACATTTGACAATTTAAAATTTGTTAAAATCGTTGACGGGAGTAACGGCCGCTAAGTTGGCCGTTCTACGTTAGATGGCGTCGTATTCGATCGTTGTGGGACCGCGCGTAAGTGTCGTTGTGGGAATAGGCGGCGATGCCACCAACTGTCACAGTTACTTTCTACCAAAGGTGTGTTAATGATTTTTGTACCTTGTCGTTTAATCGCGTCACACGTAATATACGTAAACCAGGTTGGTTTAATTATTTTTATTGGCAAGAATACTCTGGCCTAACACTAAACGCGATAGGTTCCTTCCGGGTTGCTGTTTTTTAAGTTTAATTTTAAATTTAAAAAAATATTTATAATTTACGGCATGTAAATGGTAGTTTTCTGCCTTTTCAAACACTTATATAAGCTTAAACCCGTGTAAAAATAATCTATTCCATTTAATTGTAACTTAAACGTGTCTAATTAACATAGGCGAATAACGCGTGTATAATTATGGATTATTTAAATATATTTATAAAAGTAATGGGAAGTTTATTAAATTAAGAAGATTATTTTCTATTTCGCTATTTATTTACGTTATTGAATTGCGCGTTTAAAATATTCATAAAATTCGTGTTTACGTAAGAACGAAAGTTGCCTTTAGGCTCGTATCGTAAGATTTTTGCTTATAATTTGAAAGATTTTCGTAAAAATTCGTTAATAAATTCCAAATGTAAAATTTAAAAACTTTTAAAATTTCTGTTTAAGAAATTATTTTAAAATTTATACGCGAAAGGGAAGAAAATTCATTTTTTTATGTAAGTAAATTTAAATTTTTAACAGTATAATAATGCTAAACATCATTTTTAAACCTGGAAAAATTGATGATAGTTACGTATACTGTACAGTATGGCGGGAGTCTGCGGAGGGGGCGAGTAAAAAAATTCCACAAATTATAATGGTTACGTAACTTCTCACCTAGACCACGGGGCGCTTCGATGCAACGCCGTATCGCGTAATCTATTTGCGAAAGGACACCCAAAATCGGATAATTAAATAAACATTTATTGACGTAATTATTTATTTCCAAGCTTTGCCGCCGGCTGGAAAAATTTCTGCGGACCGTAAGTAGCGATACCTAAGAAAAACCTGTCCAAAACGGAGCGATTTTTTGTTTAAAAAGACCCGCTTAAAACGGAACCCGGCAAATCTAGGCTTCCGCTATTCCTACATTCCTAAGAATTTTAGGCGGGTTTCCGTTTTATTAAGGTTCCGTTTGGGGCAGGTTTTACTAACCAATAATTCAGACAGAAACGTATAAAAGAAACGTATTTTTTAAACATTTTCGACGAGTTGGCATATTTTAATGCAGAAATTATCTGGAAAAACAAACTCGCTGCCTCGAATGGTGAAATAATTTAAGATAGGAAATAATGTAAATATTATTTTAATTTGTTACTATAAACATCGATTAGTAGCGACGAGTTGGAAATCATTCGACGAAAAACATGGCAGATATATTTTATTAATGTAATTGAAACCCGGGAAAAAATAATTCCCAGCGGCGAGTTGCCTAACTTTTCCGGCAAGAGTTAAAATTCTGTTGCCATATTTTATATAAAACGTTTAATATTATTATTTTAAAATGGCAAAAAGATGGAGATAGATTAGTTTTACAGTAAATTGTAAATGCTAATAACGAGTAAAATCTTCGAGTCGGACTCCCACTCCACGCCCGATTATCCCTTAACCTTTAACTACGGCGCGTCAATCTCCTAACCCACAAACTTCCCCGCAAAATTTCACAAATTTTTCATCGTAAGGCGCGGGAGTTACAGTAGAACGTGTCCGAAAACCTCGATGACACGGAAACCCGCGTAAACGGGAAAATAGGAAGGTAGCGCTTACCGTGTTAAGAAAAACCTGTTCAAAACGGAAACCCGCCAAACCGTACGAGTCCGGTTTACGCGGATCGCGCTGTATTAAGCTTCGAAGTAGGTGAAGGAAGTCGCCCTCCCCACACGCGCGTAGGAAAGACCCCTCTATCGTTGGCCAATTAAAAGAAATTATAAAAAATAATTATTACATTCGTAGAATTCTGTTTAGTGTACCTTCTTTGTTTTTGGATCTATGTTTATCCTCGAAATTGAAAAACCTCGTCTACGTCACAGAGAAAGAAACACGTTGGAAAATTGCCAGTACAACCAGCTTCCTGCATAGTAAAAAAAAAACGTATTTAATAAAGAAATTGAATTAGAAAACTAAATACAATTAACAAATTACAATAAACTTAATCTTAAACGAAATAAAACCGCGTTAACACGTACTCCGATTAATTAACAATGCGCCGAAAAGTTAATAATAAATAACGGTCTGTTTATAATTTATAAATACGCTTCGATTTTCCTTTCTGTTTGTTAAATTCGTGCTGGAAAAGACCAAGCAAATGCATTAAAACCCGCGTAGACCGGACTGGCGCGGTCGTTTTGGCAGGTTTTAAGACAAAATCTGAAGTGTTTGGCGTAGTTGTCGATGTAAACAGCCGCCAACTAGAAATAAGGTGGCGCCATCGATTTTTATCCAGTTATATAATAGCTAAATCTTGAACGTAATTGCGATCGATAATGTATCGATCCGCAAATAGTCTATATTTAGTTGATTTGAAGAATTAAATTTACGAGCAACGTTTAAGTCGCTCTTCCTCCCGCAGCCGACTCGACAACTCCGACGGCGCATTAATAAACCCAAGTGATATATAACCAATTACGACCAACAATGCGCATGCCTACAACATTTGGATAGCGATACTAATGACGTCAGCGTTGTCAATGGGTGTCTTCCTGTAAAGTGCTGTAACTTTTGTCATCGTCCGAGTGTAATTTTAACTCGAAGTATTAGATTCTTCGTCCAATTACAGTAAGTTCGTTCGTTAACTTTTATTCCGGAGTAACTGTCTAAAACGCGCGATTATCGCCTTGGCTTTTGTTTCTCGAGTGGCTCCCGAAACACGTGCCTTATTAAAAAATCCGCTAACAAAACACGCTTTCTTTAGCTGTTATTTTTATCCCACGACGTCGCGGCCGCACTAAATCGGAGTTAGACACGCGTACATTTATTGTTAACCATTTAGTTAATATATAATAGTAACTATTCCACCCCGAGGGACTTTTACTCGTGTTTTTGACATCCATTCCGAATAATTCCTCGCCCGAATAAGGGCGTTAACGTAAAAAAAGATGTCTGCCCTAATTTCTTCCGAATATTTGCTATTTTCATTATGTTGTCGACTAAAATTAATTAGTCGCACCCCGTTTAATTTATTAAAACAAGATAATAGTAAAATAATTGACGTAAACTTTAATATCGTGCGTATCGATTCTATACCCTTTCTTAAGGCAGTGTCGTACGAAACGAAGAAAGTCGTGCCAAAAAATCTAGTTTATCCGTTTAACGTACCTCAAAATACCCTTTTCTCTTCATTTTAATCGTATTTTTTCCAATACGGTCTAAAGGGGAAAAGTCCTTGGGCATTAAGAAAAACCTGTTGGAAACGAAAACTGAAAAAATATTCGGATTGTAGGTCCGGTTTACACGGGTCTCGTTGTATTAGTCGTACATTTTTCGTCGTGTTTTTAGTGTGCAAAATATAAGTAAACACGGCCACCCGTCTACCGTACTCGTAGAATTCCTCGTTGAATTTTTTGTTCTCGGTAGTAAAGTACTTCAATTGGCTAAACAATGCGGAACACGTGATGCAAAAACTGCCAATTTTATTAGCCAAGGGGTCATTTTAATCTATTTAAATCTGCCTTCGGAATCTCTAGAAATTACAATTAAACTTATCGCTTTCCTAGTGTTAAAAATAAAACTTTTAAACGCTTTATCGAGGCGTTAATAGACCAAGAATCATCCCGTTTAATCGACGATGTAAAATTAAAAGATATTTTCAATGTTTACGCGCATTTCTATTTAGGAAAACATTACGTTTACAGTAAAACCCGACTAAACGGGAAAAATATTCGATACCGTACGAATCCGGTTTACACGGGTTTTACCGTAACCGGAAGTATAAGCGGCATTTTGTTTTTGTTAATTAATTAGCATAATATAAATAAATACAGCGAAACCCGCGTAAACCGGACCCGTACGGTACCGAATATTTTTCCGTTTCGAACAGGTTTTCTCTTTAAATCGCTCCGTTTCGATGAAATTTTGTTAGGTTTTTACCGCGTAACGGTACAATTTATGTAATGTAATAGTATAAGCGGCGTTTTCTTATTTTTGCTTAATAATTGAGCTACTAGGCACCGACTTATTCGTAAATAATGATTCGGACAAAAATATTGCCGGTAACATCGATACAATACGATGTTTCTTAATATTAAATTACAAAGTTTATAATAAAATTGTTGGGAAGATCAGAAAAAAATTGGGCGATGATTTAGTTAAAATTTCCTACGTTTTTATGGAATGGTTCCAACAATAAGTACGAGAAAGATGGTCACGCCTCCGATTGTTTTATAAAATACTAACCGCGTCGCTCGAGTTTAAGAGGAGGGTGGGCTTTGGGGGTGGAAACTAGGGTTTCTCAAACGGGATCCCGGGATCCCGGTTGTTTTTTTAACCCGGGAAATTTTTCTTATCCCGGGAAATCCCGCAAATTTCTTAAAAATTCACTTTTTTCTTATTTTGTGTTAAGGTTGAGGAATTTTGCAAATAGAAAGCATAATTAACTCATAAACTGTCAGAATACATTTGTATTTATCAATTTTAAACCTACTTATTAGTTTCTTAAGTTTTTGCTCATTATAGCGTGTCACAAATGGTCAATAATCAATACGTAGCTTATTTGTGTCATGACTCTCAAAATTCTTTACTTGTTGGAACCTGTAATATCTGGAATAATTGTGCTTATGCCGTCTTAATTTTTAACCATGCCCAATAGCTTCGATAACGCGTAACACCATGTTGTACGATGTCTGTAAGTACGAAGTTTTTCTTCATAAACCTGATGATCAAAGACAAACTAACTGACGAATTATTGGGCTATAAGCTTGNATCGACTCAATTTCATATTTATTTTCACATTTTTACTTCGCGGTCCTTCTCTGTTCTTTTTCCGTTATTTACACGTGTAGGTCATTTCATTGTTATCCATATTTGATATCATCACTTATCGCATACTGCCACGACGCTCTTGTCTGTCCACTACGACTGTCAAGAATTAACGCGATTGGCCAAGCGTAGTGACAGTGGGCCAATAGAGAGCGGGGTCTTTGCCATAATGCGGTTTGCGCGCCAATTTTCGTACGTGCGTTAATCGAGCCGAATATACTATTCGTTGCAACACTAGTTATTATCGATAGATTGAAAAATAGGATAAGACGAGCAAAAAAGAAAAACTAGAAAGGAGTGGCATGCCGGTGAGGTTATACATCCTTCTTTAGAGGGCGCATTAAAAAACGAACTAGTTTTTGTTCCAAAACTGAAACTGTCGGCGTTACATCAAAAACTACGATTATACGTTTAATTTCTTCATTTTGTCTTCTTTCTAACGACGTAAAATACTTTTGGAATTCCAAAAGTGCTCTTCTATGTGTACAGTACTTTCTTCAAAAACGCAAAATAAACATTAAATTTAAGAAACACTGCAAATTATCTCGGCTTACGCGGATTAACGTCGACTTTGTGTTATTTTTAATTAACGTCGGGGTAGATGGTCAGTGTAGCCCACACTAACTGCCTCTACTGTCAATTGTTTTAGTCTTTTCTCCTCCTGATTTTAAGTCAGTCAAATTACAATATTATTATTTTTATTGTACTCGGAAGAATGATTTCTTTAACGTTTAATTAACTAGTTTTGTTAGATCCGATTAAATTTATATTTTAGTCGCCGGCGTGCCTGTCATTCCACGAAAATACAGTACAGTCATACCCCGACTTACGCTACCCCGACTTACGCGATTTTCAAATCTCGTCGATTCGTCTTTTGTTTGAGCGCCACGCAACTCTTGATTACTCACTCTCCCCACACTATTGTTCGGCTTACGTGTTCGGATGTGTCGCGCAGAATCGACGCATAGCTACAATTCATTTTGTGTTATTTATTTCTGTGTTTGTTATATCTACGGAGACTCGAGAGACTGTATGTGGTGTGGTGATTTGTTGTAACCGTGAACGAACCAAAAGGCGAGATAAGATTAACGAGAACATTTATTAGCTTACATACATCCGACTTGGATTTTACACAAAAGGCATCTGCAATGGTAAACAATTGACGAAAAAAGTATACATTTATCAGATAATAAAGAAAGACTCATTTTGTAAACAATTTACCTTTTGTACATATAACTGACAAGATTACCTTTCAAATTATAAACAGACTCGATCTCAAGCGGTCTTTTGATCGTCGGACATACAAAAGAAATGAACAGATGGCGCCTAACTTAAACTCGGTTTACAATAACGAATACGATTAATCTTAACACTCTACTATGTCATCCAAATGAAGTNTAAAAGTTTGCAATATTTTGTATTATATTTTATTTAAAAAACGAAAATTACCTTCTAAATTAGAAGTTCATTTTTTTTAATTTTTAACTCAACTCAAAACATTTTTTTGTTGTTGTTGTATGCAGTTTCCAGCAAACTTTAATTAATTTTTTTCTATTTGCGAAAATTTCTACGTTATTTAAAGGTAATTTTTATTATAGGCCTATAGACCTTACACAGCATTATTAATATGATTTTGGAGGTTACAGAACTTTAAAATTACTTTAAAAAATGGAAAATAATTATATCATTTGATTTCAAGATATTTTGTATACCTTAAAAATAATTAATTCTATTCCGGGAAACAGTTCACTTTTATCCCGGGACAAGCAAAAGACCGGGAAATGAGAAACCCTAGTGGAAACCCCAACGGTGTTTCTTCTAGGGTGTCGAAGAGTATTCGCGCTAAAGTTGGTGCGGATACGTCGAACGGCGTACAACCCTTTACCTAACGTACAGTAATAAAACCCGTCCAAAACGGAATCTTAATAGAACGGAAAAAGTTCTTAGGAAATAAAGGATTTTCCGCGCGAAAATGAAAGACCCGTTCAAATGGGAAATCTTCCAAACCGGGAAAATATATTCGTTGCCGTACGAATTCGGTTTGCGCGGGTTTTACCGTAACCGGAAGTATAAGCGGCATTTATCCGCTTTCGTTAAATAATTAATATAATATAAATAAAGAAAGCGAAACCCGCGTAAACCGGACCGGTAGGGCCACGAATATATTTTCCGCTTTGGCAGATTTCCATTTTAAACAGGTTCTTTTTACACGCAGGAAATGGTCGATTATAAATGCGTTTAATACGAAATATATTGGCTTATAATACTCTCTCTATATATTTTTAAAAAGAAATGTTTTATCGAGTTTTTATTTTAGGAAGGCGATTTTTCTTCGCTCTTTAATGTTAAAGAAACGTATTATAAATGACGTTTGTTTAAAAAATAGCATTTTCTTTCTCAAATGTAAAAATTCAATTTATAAAGCATAAATTTTACCGTCAAGTGCCAATTTACGTATATTTAAACAGTACGATAGGCGGTAAAACCTGTCCAAAACGGAAACCCGCTTAAGCGAGAAAAATAGTCGTGGCCATTCCGGTGTAGCTTCCATGTACTTACTATACGCGATCTTCGGTCGGTCACGGCCGCATTTCGGGGTTATCTCATTTTATTCCCGTTGCAAAATTATTAACTAAACTTTGTAAGCATTTTCTTTAAATATTTTTATCAAGCCAATTACTCGTCACTTTATAAGTTCTTATAATTTTATTCTTCGTATTTATACCTCAGATTTTATTTAAATCTACGCCAGGATCTCGGGCAAATTAGCGCGGGAAAAGTCGTACCACCGCTGGTAATTT